TTTTAAAATTTCCTTTCTGAAATAAAATTTAAGTGCTACCTTTTTTGGTGTTCTGACACAAAGATGAGAAGTTGGTGGATTATTATTCTTGCATAGTTTTTTCAATGTCTCTTCCTCTGAAACCATGCTCTTGAAGAAAGATACAAAAATATATAATGTTGGGCTATTATCATTATCATATTATTAAAATTATGTTAACATATCACATATGAGAAGAATTAAGAGTAGAAAGAGGGAGGGAAAAAGGAGAAAAGAAAAGGGAGGAGGTAAGAGAAAGAGAATAAAGAAAGAAGAATGACCAATGAAAGAAGACAACAACAAAATAAATTCTCGATTGGCCAAACAAGGACCTAGATTTTTATTCTATTAAATATAATCCTGAAATACTATGTGAGATACAAGACGTGTATAATGAGTAGCATTTTACTACTGATTTCTGTTTCAGTTTCAGAGTCTTTATACTGCCATTTTTTTCTCCTCCTCCTACCCCTGCCAAGGTCTGAAAATGAGTTTCTAAAATTGTTTATAATAAACATTTATAATCCTATAAAAATTATAATATTATCCATGATCCAGCAACTCCACTTCTGCGTATATACCCAAAAGAACTGAAAGCAGAATCTGAAGAGATCATGTACACCCATGGTAATATCAGCATTACTCAAACAGCTAAAACATGGAAGCAACCTAAGTATCTACCAACAGATTAATGAATAATCAAAATGTAGTATATACATACAATAAAATATTATTCAACCTTAAAAAGGAAGAAAATTCTGACACATGCTACAATATGGATGAACCTGAAGAAACCTGAAGACATTATGCTAAGTGAAAAAAGCCAGTCACAAAAGGACAAATATTGTATGATTCCACTTATATGAGATACATAGAGTAGTCAAAATCATAGAGACAGAAAGTAGAATGATGGTTGCCAGAGGCTGGAGGGAGGGTGGAATGAGGAGTTACTGTTTAATGGGTATAAGGTTTTAATTTTACAAAAGGAAGAGTTATGGAGATAGATGATGGTGATGGTTACACAACATTATGAATATATTTAATAATACTGAACCGTACAGTTAAAAATAGTTAAGATGTAAATTTTATGTTATGTGTATTTTACCACAATAAAAATTAT